AGAGAGAGAGAGAGAGAGAGAGAGAGAGAGAGAAAGAGAGAGAGAGAGAGAGAGAGAGAGAGCGGAAGAAAGGGGATGGGGAGATGTAAAATGTTCTTGAGGGCTTAATTTCAAAGTAATGCAAGATCTCTTCCAAAAAGGGCGGAGGCTGAATTAACTGAGCAGCCTGAACTAAACTGACCACGCTGCGTTATTTACAGAAGGTACTTCTCGATGCAAGCTTACAGGAAAGGCAAGGGTTCCATGACTGAGTGAGGATGGTTTGACAAACTTGACATCTGAGCTGCAAGTGTCCCATTTTCCGTTGTAAGGAAATGATGACCCTTTAGTGGCCGAGCGAGTTTGATATAACTTTGAAAGTACAAAAACTAATTTTTTTTTCTACTTGTGTTTCTCTTTGCTTGCATTCATAAAACAGAGTATCATCAACGGTGAAAATAAAATACTTAAACGGAGAGTCTGAAAGTCGGCAGTCTGTTCTGAAGTCACAGGATCTGTTTACAGAAGAAATTGCTTCTGCTCCGAGGACAATTCGAATAAAGCCATCTATTGTGTTTTGTCTGTGTGAAGAGCTAGAAAAATAATCGCGTCTCCTGCTTTCATTTTAAGCGGAACTTTACGACGTCATCGGAATGTCTGGCCCTGTAATTCGATTATCGAAAACATTATCTGAATGGCCAGTGTAAAGGGCAAACTGTAACAAATCTGTTTCCGGCTTCTAATTGACTTTTCTTCAGTCATTCATCTTGTGGTGACATGACTCCCAAACGTACTCTTAATTCGTGACTTACACGATTGACCTCGTTTAAGGACTACACACTTACATAAAGTACTATTGATTTTACTTGCTTACTTTGAACTTAACTTCGATCGTTACAGAATTTTTTTTTCTTTTGGTTGGTCGATTTTGGACTGGCGAAATCGATTGAACGTGAGAAATAATTGATCGGAATTCCATCACACTGAACATCCCTGGAGACACTTAAACCTGTGTGTCTACGTTTTATAGTCATTGAAGTAGGGTTATCGATCATGTGCATCCATAAAAGTAGATAGGGGTGGGTGGGGGGGGGGTGATTGGTGTGCTTTCGATCTCGCACTTAAATCAAGATTAAGGAAAAACATACTAGTTGTTGCTTATTGTGAAATACAGTCGAGCTTGCTCAAGACGACCATACGTTGTCGAAGAAAAAAAGTGGTCGTCTTATGCAGGTGGCCCTCTTGGACAGTGTCATTATAATATAATAACTTAGGAAACGGGAAGTTTTCAGCTGCACAGGTCAAATTTTGGTCGCCGTGATATCATGCGCAGAATAGCGAAAGACGCTCTCATTTGAAGAATAGTTAGATCTAGGGGTTTGTTGTTTTTTGTTTGTTTATGTTGGGGTTGTTTTTTT